TGCGATAAAAGACATGCCTACTCCAACAAATGTAAAAAACTTACAAACATGTTAAGGGTTTGCTGACTACTATCATACATATATAACTAATATGCATGAATTAAGATTACCCTTGAATAACCTGCTGAAGTGGAATTGAACAGATAAATGTTAAAGTGCTTTCAAAGAGATCATAAAGTCTTAACATCACATTTGTCACCATCTCATTTTGACCCTAAATTAAAGATTATGGCAAGTGATTCAGGTATTGGAGCAGTGATACTACACAAATATGGGGACGGAAAAACTAAAACAATAGCTCATGGTTCAAGGTCGTTAATTGCAGCTGAAAGAAGCTACAGTCAGATAGAAAAGGAAGTACTGGCCATCATATTTGCCATGAAAAAGTTTCATAAATTGATACATGGTAGAGAATTCATACTACAGTCAGGCCATCGTTCATATATGGATCAAAAAGGGTGTTCCCACGCATACAGCGAATAGACTGCGGTGCCGGGGAACGGTCCTAATGAATTATAATTATAAAAAGGAATTTTTAGCATCCAAAAAATTAAGTCATGACGAATGCTAGGCAAGAACATGAAGAAATAACAATAAAAGTAGATACTTCAAACCTGGAGATGAGTTATTTTTTAAGATATGTCAGCGCGGAAAGGAATTCTGGGAAGATGGTGATATGACAGAGAGTCAGCGAAATTAAAATAAGTGTTAATTAACGAAGTGTAATGAGTTGATTAGGAAGCGAGGGTAAAAATAATAACAATTAAGGATGGTTCGAGTAGTAGTAAAATTGAGGTGATGAGTAACTTGATGGAATTAATGGACTAACTGGAAAAAGTAAGGGTAACAATACAGGAGGCTTGACTAGCTTAAGGAAAAGGTTGGAAAAAATTCTTATTTCTTTTTTTGAAGAGGTCACCGAAAATTTTATCTTTTTTTTTTGTGGATGTAAATAATGAAGAGCCAGACATCCTGGCGACCAATAATCCCGGAGGAATGAATGACCAGTGTTGGAAAAGATAACGTGTCCTGGAAAAGGCTACCCGGAAATATGTGTGCAGCCAGGTTGGAATTGAGCAGAAGAAAAGGGAGTTGAAGGGTGGCAGATAATGACAATTATCAGATGGAGATTGGCTGTCCCGAGGCTACCCGGAACTATGTGGGCGACCAAGATAGACTTAGCCAGAGGTAAGGGGAGTCAAGGGTGGCTGATAATGACAATTCTCGGGTGGTGAGTGGCTGTTCAGTTCAGGCCCACCCCTGGGTGTGTAAGTGAGAGTGTCCGCTAGGAGAAAATGAAAGGGGAATTAGGATTAGTAGGAAGATACAAGTTATGGTGGTAGGAGGGCTGCTGGCAATTAACTGTAGCAATTATGCATGGGGACCCTTAAAATAACAACTCCACCCATCTTCGATATAAGCAGGGGTTTGGGCCGCAAATGGTAGGGTGGTTAGCAGAGTTGTGCAGAGTAGCGGGGAGTGACGAGTGTTGCAGAGAGTCATTAGCAGAGTTAGCAGGGAGTGGCAAGAAGTTGAAGAGAGTGGTTAGCAGAGCTGTGCAGAGTTGGAGGGAGTGACAAGAGAGTTGAAGAGGGTGGTTAGCAGAGCTGTGCAGAGTAGCAGGGAGTGACAAGAGTTGAAGAGAGTTGTTAGCAGGATTGTGCAGAATACAATGGAATGACAAGAGAGTCAAAGAGAATCATTAGCAGAGTTGTGCAGAGTAGCAGGGAGTGAAAAGGGAGTGGTTAGCAGAGTTGCGCAGAGTAGCAGGGAGTGAAAAGAGAGTCAAACAGAGTGGTTAGCAGAGTTGCATAGAGTAGCAGGGAGTGACAAGAGAGTCGAAGACAGTTGTTAGCATAGTTGCGCAGAGTAGCAGGGAGTGACAGGAGAGTCAAAGAGAATCATTAGCAGAGTTGTGCAGAATAGCAGGGAGTGATGAGAGAGTCACAGAGTGACGTTGACATAGTTGCACAGAATAGCAGGGAGTGAGAAGAGAGTCACAGAGAGTCATTAGCAGAGTTGCGCAGAGTAACTGGGAATGATAATCAAGCCGCAGAGAATCGTTGGCAGAGTTGCACAGAGTAAAGGGAGGATTTTTTTTTTCACAGAGAGACGTTGGCTGAGTTATTTACAGAGCAATTATTTGTGATAAGAGAGTCACAGAGAGACGTTGGAAGAGTTTCGCAGAGTAGCAGGGAGTGACACGAGAGTCGAAGAGTGTGGTTAGCAGAGTTGTGCAGAGTAGCGGGGAGTGATAAGTGCTTTGCAGAGAGTCGTTGGCAGAGTTGTGCAGCGTAGCAGAAGAGAGTTGCAGAGAGTGGTGAACAGCAAAGGGGTAGAGAGTGAGGAGCAGAGCTTTGCACAGCAGAATTTGCGTAGAATAGAGGGAAGTCCCTGAAAGTTCCTGAGACGAGATCGTAATAGCGGTTGTTAGCAGAGTACAGATACCTGATATGAAACTATGTGAGGGCCCTGTTATATAAGCGAGGGCTGACGCAATATTCGCGTAAGAACGGCGGAGAGCGATAACCTGATACGCAGCCGATTCTCTCTCCCTACTTAATTTTAATTCTGCCTGTATATAAAGACTTGAACTCTAATGAAGCGACTCCGGTCTGTCAGTCCAGGATCAATGAAACCACTCTTTAGGTCAGAAAATTCACAACGTGGGTGGAGAGTGGATTGTTGTCACTTGGTCCCAACGTCCAGACCCACGAGAGTCGAGTGGGTGATGGGCATAAGGGTTTATAGTGTTATGAAAAAATGGATCGGCAAAATGACGTACATAGTACAGCGACAAAGGTGGGAACATAAGCAACACCTTAATCTGTTAAAACGTAGATTCACTGATTTAAAAGGTTTTTAAAAAGAAGTACCAATGGAAATTCTGTATGACACATTCAACATACCCACACCATCAGAAATTGTTGAACGAAGTGCTTATGGCAAAAGAAAAAGAATGTCAACAGAATTTCTAACTATTGAAGAAGTATAGACTCCAGGGGGAAGTCAGCTCAGGTGTTATATAGGAATAAAGTGTCGCTGGAGTTTGAACACAGATCATCAAAGAGCAAACACAGGTGATCCTATTTTGAATAAGTAGATCATGTGATGGTAAAGGAAATGTATATATGGGAATTAGTGTGGCGTCTAATTGATCACTATTTCTACTTTATTACTGTTGTGTCTTTGTTAGGGCCAAAAATAAAGACACAAGAGAGGAATTGAGTTAAACAAATATATTAACAGAAACAGTAATACAAACATATACAAACGAGAGTGTTACAGCAAGAATGTTCGGTCTGACTGTCAAAAAAGAAAAGCCATTACCTGCTCCTATTTATAGCTGGGAGAGTCCATGCGTGTGTGGGCAAATTACCATAACAATTACTATACGGATCACTTTTTCTACACTATCTTCTATTCTCTATACTATTTCTCTATACGGATCACTATATGGATTACTATTTGGATCACTATTTGGTGGTTACATTTTGAGAGAGAATTATTGAGCAAGTACTATTAGTGTGAGTGTTATTCAAAGGCGTCTGACACCAGTATTGTTCAACAGCATTACTATAGTTGTATCTGTGATTACAAAGTCTCTACTACAACGAGCAATACGAAAGTGACAATGAGTATTCGTTGACATTACACAAGTGGCAACGAGTCTTTGTTGACATCACAAAAGATATACAGCATTAAATTCAATTATTGTTTAAGGAAAATTAAAAATGAACCAATTAATGTTGACTTTTAATAATGACTCCATGAAAGAGGAAGTCTTAAAACTCTTTTTCCGTATTTGTCATTCATAGCCATTCTTATACCAGCAATATAGGCAACAAAAATAGTCATACTATTTTCTCCTTTTTTTTCTATTGTTTGAGGTAAATTATTAGCTTAATTAAAAGTCCATTTGTCGTCATTAGTTTTCCAAAAAGATTAAATTACATATCTAGTATTATAAAATTATTATATAGTTTTCATAATCATAATAATAATTTCTTCATTATTCTATCGATTCAAAATATTGGAAAAACACAATTATTTTTGCACGAAATCAATTTGAAAGCACGAGTAAGGGCCATTTATGCAGAATTTTAGCAGTCTTTGGGCGATGTTTTGTTACGAAGCCACCAAAACAAATCAAATGGTCCAGTTTCTGATAGCACTAACGCTTGGCTATCTAACAAGTACCAAATTGTTTGCAAGACTGTCAAAGCCGCTTGACCAGGGAACCATAAACGGGGGTACCAAGGGACAGGATTTAGCCCTCTGAACACACATTCACTGCCACATTATGTACAGTTTTGGTTTGATTCAAATGAAATTTACGACACACTTGCGGCTTACTATCGCATTTATGTTTGTCAAATTTCAGAATTTTTCGGCAAAAATAACCGTAGCTGCACACGGATCAATCTTTTTGTAACTTTCTTACACACACACAGCTGCGTACAACCGAGTCCGCGTGTCGATACCGAGACTGCTGCAAGCCCATTGGTCGCTTTCACAGAGCTTGACCTTGGGGCCTGTCCAATCATCGCGCAGGATTTCTCACACGCTATAGCGCCCGCGTGATCGCGCGTCAGCTTATGTGTAAGTGCGCTCAAGGTCAACCACCTCTATTGCGTGATTCAGGCGTGCTTTCATACTTTTGCGTTTATTGTTGCCCGCATTCACGCACTTGGCTTACTTTTTTCGCCTACTTCGGACACTGCAAGTTGTTGATTACGTGTTCTAGCTGCTTTTTTGTTTTATAGTTCCAAACCAACCCCACACACGTTAGCCAATTGTACTAAAAACCCATTTCCTTTTAGATTTACCCTTGATTTACATTTTTAAATTTCCACTTTTTTAGTTTCGAGTTACCCTTTAGTAACATCTGAACTCATTTTTCTGGGTGTTCCCCTTTTTGTGTCTACGTTAGCAGTGCATGTTTTTTCGTTTTGGATTTGTCGAAATCTCTTTTTAAGCTTTACCCTCTTTGACGTTTAATGCCACCTAAAAGGAGGAAACTTTTGGGACGACGCACGGCAGCTGCCTCCGCTGCTAGAGCAGCGAGGGCGAGTGAAACCCCTGAACAGACTTCTTTGCGTCTTTCACGGGTGGCCTCGAGCTCAGCTGCTCGCTTATCTACGGAGAGCGCCGCTGCGCGGACTGAAAGGTTGGCTTTAGCGGCTTCAACCATGTCTGCACGCCGCGCCAGGCGCTCAGTTGAAGAACGTTCACTTCAGAATTCATACGACGCAATCCGCGTGGTTAGGTTGAGGGCTTCACAGTCCCCAGCACAGAAAACCCTTCGTCGTTTGCGGGATGCAACCGCCAATGCTTGCTCCAGGGGTTTAGAAAGCCCCGAACAAACAACTTGACGTCGTCTTAGGAATACTAGGGCTACAGCCGCCTCTAGAGTTTCGGAACAACCCCAAGAAACCGCTCATCGTCGCGTTAGAAATGCCCTATCCACCGCGTCTGCCAGAGCCTTAGAAAGCCCTGCACAGACCACTGTTCGTCGCGTTAGAAATTCCCACTCCACTGCATCTGCTAGAGCCCTAGAAAGCCCTGCACAAACCACTGTTCGTCGCGTTAGAAATGCCCGCTCTACTGCGTCTGCCAGAGCCCTAGAAAGCCCTGCACAAACCACTGTTCGTCGCGTTAGAAATGCCCGCTCTACTGCGTCTGCCAGAGCCCTAGAAAGCCCTGCACAAACCACTGTTCGTCGTGTTAGAAATGCCCATTCTACTGCGTCTGCCAGGGCTGCAGAAAACTCTGAAGTACGCCGTCAACGGTTCGGAAACATTAGCAACTTCGAGCTTCTTTGAATGGCGTAACTTCGCCGTCTGCGTCATTTTGGTCAAATGCCGCATACAATACTGCACTCTCAACTATTCCGCTAGGGGAGACGTACAAATAGGAGCCATGGATAAAGTTTGCACTTTTTGCAACGCAAAAAAGTGGGCCGGTGAGCAACCTGGGCTTTGTTGCTTTGGGGGCAAAATCAAACACCCTTCTTTAGACGAACCTCCCCAGCCGCTTAGGGACCTCCTTCTGGGTACAACTTTTTTTGAAACAATATGGAAGTACAACTGTTGCTTCCAGATGACGCCTTTTGGTGCGAAGGCTATTAGTGAGGGGGGATTGATGCCTACTTTCAAAGTGCAAGGCCAGGTTTACCACTTAATGGGATCACTTTTGGCTGACCAGGGAGAGCCACCTCAGTTCCTACAAATTTACTTTCTCGCTGACTACAACGAGCAGGTTGATGCGCGTCTCAGCATTCTGCCTAGCGATATTTCCGTCGGTCCCCGTAGAGACATTCTGTTCTGTCTACAAGACATGCTTCACGAAACTAACAGTTACATCTGAAGCTTAAAGTTTGCGTTGCAAAACAACTCTTCGCCCTCTTTCAGCGTTGTCATCGATGCAGACAGATGGCCTCACGGTGAGTCTGAGCGTCGCTTCAATGCTCCTGCATGTAATGAAGTCGCCGCAGTCATCCATGGTGAGGATCATAACAGCCGTGACATTGTCATAAGGTACCGGGGCGTTGGTCTGCACCGCATCAGTGAAACCCACCGTTCATACGACTGTCTCCAGTACCTCCTTCTTTTTCCATACGGAAGCGATGGGTACCACTTCAAAATCCCAATATACCAGGCAAGCAGCGATTCCATGTCGACCTCAAAGACGGTCTCCTGTAGGGCTTACTACGCCTACATGTTTATGGTTAGGGAGGGTGAATTTAACCACTTGCACAGGTGCCGTCAACTATTTCTTCAATTCGCTGTTGACATGGCTCCAAAAATGGAGTCGGAGAGGTTAGGATTCATCAAGTTAAACCAATCCAAACTTAGAACTGACTCCTACATTCACCTTCGTGATGGTCTGTGTTCTGATGGTGACCCACGCAATCTTGGCAAACCTTGCATTTTGCCTTCCTCGATACATGCATGAAAGGACACAAAACGCAATGACCTATGTCCATCATGAGGCCTGATCTGTTCGTCACGTTCACGTGCAATCCAAAATCGGTTGAAATCACACGCGAACTTTTTCCATGTCAGCAGTACTCACACCGCGCTGACCTAATTGCCCGTGTTTTCCGATACATGGCCCCTGTGGCGCGAATTACGAAAAAAGGTCGTGTTGGTCAAGCGGCCTCACTTGCACAAAGGGTTACCCCCGTAAGTTTATCTCAGAAACGCAGACTGCGATGGTTACCCACTGTACAAACGTAGAAGCCCCGCTGAGGGCGGCAGAACTTACAGTTAAGGGGCACACCCTGGACAATCGTTGGGTGGTACCTTATTGCCCGCTGCTGTCCAAGACTTTTGGAGCCCACAGAAACGTTGAATACTGCCACTCGGTTAAGTCAATAAAGTGCATCTGCAAGTACATTAATAAAGGCAGCGATGCTGCCGTTTTCGGTATGCGGCGCGACAATTGCGTTGACGAGGTGGCCGATTACGTGGCTGGACGCTACCTCAGCAGTAGCGAGGCCTTTTGGCGAATTTTCGGATTCCCCATACACCAAAGGGCTCCAGCCATTGTGCAGCTTGCTGTTCACTTAGAAAATGGACAGAGGATGTACTTCACCGAACAAAACGCCCAGCGGGTTGCGGAAAACCCTAAAGACACAACCCTAACGGCTTTCTTTAAATTATGTTCAACAGATGCTTTTACCAAAACATTGATATACCCCCAAGTCATGTCCTACTACATGTGGTCAAACAACTCGTTAGGTTCGGCGAAAGGCTGGCGACCCTGTCGAGGGTTATCCAGATGTAAGGTCTAACTGCCTTGGACTAGTTTATACTGTGCCCCACCCCCAGCCAGCAGGAGTGCTTTTACCTCCGCCTTCTACTTCATGAAATTGCTGTGCCAACGAGTTTCACAGATATTCGCACTGTCAACGGTATAGAGTGCCAGTCATATAGAGAGGCATGCTTCCGTTTGGGATTGCTTGAAGACGACTGGGTGAACTTCTCAGAACGCCATCACGGCTTCGAACGCTGTTCGCCATTTTGCTTTTGCGATGAGAACTAAGCGATCCTCTGTCGCTCTGGCTAAAGTACAGAGAATCCGTGTCAGAGGATGTGCTGTTCTCAGTTCAGCGTAACATCCCAGGAGTTGAATGCAGTTTCACTGACTTCATATTCAACAGAGCGCTGGTGGCTCTAGATGTTGGTGTTTTCGAACTGGGAGGTGCCTCTTTACCAACTTACGGTTTACCACCACCGCTCAGAGACTGTTTTGACACTGTACCAACTGAGTTATTGCGGGAAACATCCTACTCCATCGAGGGGCTGGACGCATACATTACCGAAAACGAGCCCAAACTTCTACCTGATCAGAGGGTTGCTTTCACTACCATAACAGACGTGGCAAACGGCTCCAGTGGAGTTATATACTTTTTAGATGCGCCCGGAGGAACTGGCAAAACTTTTGTTACTAAATTAGTCCTGGCAGAGGTACGGTGTCGTGGGGAGATCGCTATTGCGGCCGCATCTTCCGAGATTGCTGCAACGTTGCTACCGGAAGGTAGAACCGCTCATTCGGCTTTTAGGTTGCCGCTTGATCTATGCCGGTCACAAACTCCTCTCTGCAACATAACAAAGAATTCGTCACAGGCTGAAGTTCTGCGGAGGTGCAAACTTATAGTTTGCGATGAGTGCACGATGGCACACAAGGGCGCCCTTGAGGCACTTGACCAAAGTCTCCAAGACATCCGCGACTCCTCCGATCCCATGGGTGGAGTAACCCTTCTCCTCGCAGGCGACTTTAGGCAGACTCTACCTGTTATTCCTAAAGGTACACGCGCTGGCGCTGTCCGCGCCTGTCTGAAGTCGTCTGCCCTTTGGCGCTATGTGGAGACTCTTAAACTGAGCACGAACATGCGTGCCTACTTGGGGACTCCAGATCCGTTGACTTCGCACGGGACCTTCTTGTTCTTGGGGAGGGGAAAATGCGATCTGACACACAGGGTTTTGTGCAGATGGATCAGCTTGCCACCACTGTTGAATCACCGGAAGAATTGATGAATGCAGTCTTCTACAACGTATCCACTAATTTTTCCGATGCCGATTGGCTTGCTGGGAGGGCCATATTGGCACCGAAGAACTGTACAGTTGATTCCATCAACCTTAAACTGTTGGATTGCATTCCCGGGCAATGTCATGTTTATAAGTCCATCGACAGAACTTCTAATCCATCTGAATTAGCTGAGTATCCCATAAAAGTTTTGAACTCCCTTCAGCCGTCCGGACTCCCACCTCATATTCTTCTTTGGTGCTCCGATTGTGCTAATCAGGAATTTGTTCCCCACCTAAACACCTTTGCTTTGCTATGTCCATTAACAAATCACAAGGACAGACGCTTAGCATCGCAGGTCTGCATTTACGTGAGCAGTGCTTTCCACAGCCAACTTTACGTTGCGCTCTCGAGTTGGGTATTTGGGATTGTTGGGGTTTTCATTTACTCTCCCAACAACTGTGCTAGAAACATAACCTACACGGAGGTCCTGTAGACAACCCGCCCGGTAGCGTTTAATTATGCACACATATGCAGTCCGATTGCATGGAAATTATTTTGTTTGTCATATTAGTTTAACGTTAGGTCGTCGTAGTTTCCACTTGCCATTACTAAGACATCTTTGTAAAGGTTATCCAGCTATTTTGCTGCCTTCTGACTTTCATACCTTCACCCGCCATCATCGCGTTTGTTTGTACACTATGATAACCTTCACCGTATTCAGTTGCAACACAAGCTGCTAGACACATGAACACCGGCATTAGACATGATTGCTCCACTAAAGTTCCGGTTTCATTAACAGTTGATCGGAGCACCTGCAGTTCGTACCAGTGCATACAAGCACATTCACACTTGAGAAGATTCGGAGTTCGTTTAATTGTCACAAAAGTCAAGTGCGTCTACGAAATTCAGGCTTCTGCTTCCATATACACTTTACGGATGCCATGGGTGAAACATGTCAGCCATACGGCTGTATTGTTTTCTTTGTAGTCGTGTAAAAAACCCTAAAAACACACGCCAAGTACGGCGGCCCCGGTCGGTTTTCATAAGCTATCAGCCATGATGTTGACTGCGACTGAAGAGAAGGCACTTTTTCTTTGCAATTGAGGCGCTCGGCCGTACGGCGACCCCGGTCCGGTTCCATGATCTCTCAGCGTGATGTCGACTGCGACTGAAGAGATAGCACTTCCCCATTGCAATTACGATGCTTGGCCTTACGGCTACCCCCGTTGCGGTTTTAAGGGCTCTCAGTCGCGATGTAGATAGTGACAGATCAGAATAAAGGAAGTTATATCACAGAAATTTTCTTACCATGACACCCCGTCACTGTTCGCTCTTCTCTCGGTTTTACGGTTCTGCTTTGTGGTCGTGGCAGCGCCGTCTTTTGGGCATAAGACGCGGTTTGTTTGTGATTGCGCACGGCACATACTTTATGTCCATGGCTTCCTCACGGCACGTTTTCCCTTCAATCCCTATGTATGTTGCAACTGAATCATGGTTTTTTAACTACTTACCACAAGTGCTTCCAGTAATGCTTAACGGTCCAATTGGTTAAAGCAGCTTTTACTCACAGATGTCTTAGTAATGGCAAATGACTGATGCTACAACGGCTTTCCGTTACTTCCTTCGATACCTTCGAATACTTGGGCTTGCATGATGTCTGCTTAAACTTTGTGTGCATTGCGTTTCAACGTTTTGTAAAAACTAAGTTCCTGTCGACTTACAAGGCACATCTTTCAAAGCAACAGCCGTCCCCAACACTTACTGTTACATCCCCGGGCAACACCGGGCTCTACAGCTAGTATATGTATATATATAAACAGTGTAACCCGGATATAAGAGACCCTGATATAAGAGAAACCCGGATATAAGAGATATTTTCTCTGGTCCCAAATTAGAGCCTGTATTAATGTATATAAAATAGACCAAACCCAGATATAAGAGAAACCCGGATATAAGATACTTCTTCTCCGGTCCCGACAACTCTCTTATATCCGGGTTACACTGTATGTACATATCTATATATATATGTATATATCTGTATATATATATGTATGTATATATATATGTATGTATATATATGTATGTATATGTATATGTATGTAAATATATATATGTATATATATGTATGTATTTATATATATGTATGTATATATATATGTATGTATATATGTATTTATATATATATGTATGTATGTAAATATATATATGTATGTATATATGTATGTATATATATGTATGTATATATATATGTATGTATATATATATATATGTATATATATATGTATATATATATATATATATTTATGTATATATATTTATGTATATATATTTATATATATATATATATATATATATATATATATATATATATGTGTGTGTGTGTGTATGTATATATATATATATATATATATATATATACAGTGTAACCCGGATATAAGAGAAACCCGGATATAAGAGAGATTTTCTCTGGTCCCAAATTAGAGCCTGTGTTAATGTATATAAAATAGACCAAACCCGGATATAAGAGAAACCCGGATATAAGAGACTTCGTCTCCGGTCCTGACAACTCTCTTATATCCGGGTTACACTATATATGGATATATATATGAATATGTATGTATATATATATGCATGTATATATATATATATATATGTATTTTATTAGGGTAGGTCGATTTTGGAACTCGAGGAAAGTTGCAAAATAACGTCAAAAATTATCACAGAAAATATTTTTCTTCAAAACTTCGTATTTATTTGAGCAATCGAACTTAAAGACAAAATAAATTGCGATTTTTTATCATCATAACGGTGTCACGGAGAAATATGTACCTTAAATTAAATGTGAGTCTTTTGAAAAAAAAAAAAAAAAATAACGCTTAATAATGGATATTTTTGAGTTTATGAAATCTAGTCTCTTATTA